GAGACCTTTTCATAAGACCAAGGACTCGAAATTGTTCCATTATCCACCGACTTACACGACTTTCGAGGTCTCGTTCGATTTTTGAGAAAAATCGAAGAGATCCCGAACATACGAACACATAAAATCACAACAATTCATATATTTGCACATATTCACTTAATAAATCACATCATATATAACACGAGCACTACACGAACATGAACAACTCAACGAAACATATATATCTATATCACATGTCACTTGAATAACATATAACGAATCACACAACACGATCAATTCGTATCAACGAAAAGACTTAGGGTTTAAGCCGTCGATACCATTCTCGGGAAAGGCGCTCGAAAACGGACAAGAGAGGGGCTGACGGGGTTCGAGAGTCGCGCACGTCGGGCTCGACGGGTCACGTGCGGCTCACCGGTGAAGCAGCGGCTCAAGAGGCGGCTTGAGAAGGAGCAGCAGCGCACGGATTCGCCGGAAAGGGCTGCTGTGGTTCACCGAAATTGGCCGACGGAGCTAGACTCGACGGTGGCTGGGCTCGGCGGAGATAGCGGCTCGAAGAGGCGCTGAAACGGGCCTACGAGGAGGAGCAGGGGCCCGACGAGGAGCAGCACGGCGGAAAGGGGGTCGCCGGAAATCGCTCGCCTGAGGCTCACGGCAGAGAAGAGGAGCAGCTTCGTGGGTGGGGGTCGTCGAGGGGTTGTTGTTCGCGAGCAGAGGAACTCGCTGGTTCGCGGAGGAGATGGCGGGGATCGTCCGTGGGTCATTTTTCTCGTTCGCGTGAGCAGCAGCACACCGTGGTCGCTCGCGGTGGAGGGTCGCCGGAAAGGACGCTGGGACGGCGGAGGGCTCGGAGTTGCAGTGGCTGGTCGCGGCGGAGGAAGGTTGCAGACGGGGGAAACTCGCGGAGGGAAGGGAGGTTATGGCAGCTCGCGGTGGTTCTAATCGCCGATGGCAGGGACTCGCCGGGAATAGCTCATGGACGGCCTGTGCGCACAGAAGAAGGGTAAGACGAGGGCGAGGGTCGATGAGATTTTTCTCCTTCTGCCGAAACGCAAGCGAGGGAGGGAGATTGGAGAGATTGCTGCGCGTTTTCGATCGAGAGAGAGAGGAAGAGATACATGGACTAGGTTAAAGACTTTCCTGGTTTACAAGAAATAAATATCACGCTCACAATGAGAGAAGCGGGTTTGGGCCATTGGGCCGGTTTTTGGCTCGCGGGCCGGTCGGTTGGGCTGGTTTGCAACAATAAATCGGCTCACGGGCTCGGTTTCGGTTCAAACGTATATTCTCGGGCCCGATAAAATCGCACGAAATATATTCGGCTCAGGCCCGATTTAATCACACGAAAATAAATCCAGCTCTCGGGATCGGGTTCTCCGATTATTAATTTCGACAGCCCCAAATCGATTGCACGGCAAATAAACAAAACTCCGGACAATATAAATTAAATACGTACATTATTTTAAAATACTAATATTATAAATCAAAATATACAATTAGCAATTAATTGACAATTAGACATATAATAACTGGCATTCAATTTGGCAAGCAATAATTAATAATATCACAATAATAATAAACATCCATAATAATAATAATAATAATAATAATAATAATAATAATAATAATAATACTTCAAATAAACCACAAATAAATGGGGCATTACAGCTGCCTTGTAACACCCCGCTCATCAGAGTAAATTTTTCGCAACTTTTACTTCAGAAAATACTTATAACTCTTTCGAAATATTTTGCGACTAACTCGAGATGCTACTCAAACTCATCTTCTTGAAAATCCGTTTATCTTTAAACTTTCTGTCTAATACTTCTCTAGACATAAAGAAAACAGATTTCCTTTAAACTTGCATTTAACTGTACCATATTCATATTTCTCGAAATGGTATAAACTTGAAATCTGAAATTTATTAAAAATGCAAGTTCAATACTTAATGTGCATAGCGGAAATACTTAAAAACGTGATTAATTGTACGGACACATCAAATCCGTAATAAATGTCCACTGAAGTAAGTGCACGACCACCACCACCACTTCTTAAGCTCACACCTCCGGCCCAACCCTGTTACCTAAAAAACACAATGGGGGTGAGTACTGATCCTCTTGTACCCCGAAAACACCCATACTAAAGTAAACAGCAATAATAATACTATATCATGATCTTCGGTACATAACTGGACTAGAAATCGGTTCCAGTAAATGAAACTTTACTCTTTCTCTTTCCGATATTTGATCGGATACTTGTGCACAATCTGATGGATGTTTCTTAAGGCAACTTGGGGCCTCCATCAGAACTTAGGATGTACTTGTAAGGCAACTTGGGGACTTCATCCCAAGCGTAAAAACTTAAACTTTATACATACCTTGGACATGATATCATATTATAGTCAATGTAATACCCAGGCTGGGTCCCCACCTTTCTTCTTTTGAAAACTTTTGAAAAATGTAAGTGTTGCTCTTGGGTAGCTATATCTGCAAGCTACATAAAAATATAAACAAATATACTAAGTACTATGCTCGTATACTCAATAAGATTTAACTCTTACTTATCCGAATCTTAAAAATATTCAATAAGCTTAATATGTATCAAATAGATATTAAGTCATCAAACATCTTAACTTTTTCCAACATCATCATCATGATTTATAAACTCATCTTAATCTTTTACTCAATCAAATACTTAATTCATCATACATCATATCTCTCAAATTTTAAATATTGGCTTATATTAAATTTTCACTTAATTAACTTGAAAGTGAAAATAAACTCAAGTCATACTTCAACTTTTAATCATAACATTTAATCATGATATTAATATGTCATACTTAATACAATCTTTATGAGATTATATACTCAACATATTAAACTAAAACTTTGCCAAATTTCTTATCACTTATATGAGAATTGATCATAATAATCTCACTTTAATAACTTGATCATATCATGAATATTCTTGCATATATACTTATCTTTACATATATGCCTTGTAATTATCATAACTCATTCATTTCTCATATTCAAATCATGAAATTTAACAGTCATAATCTCAACTCATAATTAGACATGTCATAAAAATTTAAAAATTTTAGCATGCATATACATCAGTGAACATAAAATTCATCTTGCATGTTCAACTTCAAAAATTCATAACTCAAACTATACTTTGCCAAATCACTTAATTCTTATTCTCATGTACTCCTCTTTTACATAAGAATCATTCATTTAAATTATACCTTTCCAGCTTATTCATATCTTTATGAACATCTCATCAAATCAAGCACATATATCATATAATTGATCTTGAACAACTTTAACTCTTTGTATTCATAGAATCAATTATAAATTTAACTTCTAAATCATGATATACTTACTTATAAACATGTAAACTCATTATCAAAACATGAACTTAAGCATAAAACTTTAAGATAAGTAAATTACTTCCTTCTTGCTAGAATCGTAACTTAATTCTTCACTTCTAAATTCTTCACTTCTTCACAATTTCTATTACTTATCTCTCTTACACTCATATATATCTTTTGGTACTTTTCTTTGGTGTGAGAACTCTGATTTGTAGGCCTCTATTTATAGGCACAATTTGGCAAGACATCATAATGGAGTGAAGAAATGAACAAAATAAACAATTTAAACTTATAAACTTAATTAATCATAAACTATTTTATGATTAACTTGTATTCTTATCCAAACATAATTAATCATAAAAAATGGCCTCTAGTTATAGACATGAATGAGCTTTTTGGTAGATAAAACTTATTCCACCAAGTTTAATAAAATTCTCACCAATTGTTGAAAAAAAATGCTAACTTAAAGACTTAGCAAAACTTTGTTATGATTTTCTCATCTCATTCTCACCAATTGATGACCAAAATTTCGTGCTTAATGTGATGTAATTGATTCCATATATTATTGAAAAAAATATCACCATTCATCATATAAAAATCTTTGGAACAAAATAATAAAAATAATAAAAATCATCCTTTTTTATTACTTATGCATTTTCTTTCAAAATGGCTGATTTTTAAAACTCTTTTACTGAAAAGTAATGCTCATATATGGTCTTGGATCATGCTAATAAACCGAGAATAATACAATTTACGGAACTCAATTCGGACTTAAAACGAACGTTTACCGTAAAACTGAAAATTCTAAAATTTAAATTCTTTACTCACAGTTTTTCTTCAATTTAATGAACATATTGCTTCTTAGGATCTAATATAATTATCTTGAAATATTCTACATTTACAGAACCACATTCGGACTTAAACCGAACGATTACCGTAAAACCGAAAATTCTAAAAATTTCGGTTTCTCTTAAAATAATTTAAATAGACTATAATGTCTAAATAAATTTTTTCACTGCTTTAAACATTTATCACTTAAATTTTCATGGATACTTGACCGCCCTTCGAGACTTAACTTGTATCAACTTATGCTAAAGCTCAATATTATGATCTTATCTTGATGACTTGAACACTTAGAAAAATTCTAAGTATTTAGTACTAAGGCTCGGCTATTTTTTAATTAAGTTCAACTCATGACCGAACATACTTGGGTTCAGTTCACTACTTATTTTAAACGATTAATCAAAATATACTCAATTTCGATTATTCGTCATCTTATATTAATTAATCCCGTCTTATGAATCCATTTATAAAAATAAACAGACCGGAATTAATTAATTATTGAACTGGCTCGATTACTGAATAATATTGAACCGAGAATACTTTCGACTTAAAGTCGAATTTTTAACTGAATAACTTAATAACTGGCTCAGAACTAGGAACGAGCATTATTAATAAAAGTAATTATTTCATACTTAGAATAATTACTGAATGGGATATTACATGCCTTGTCTTAATTCTCTCCTTTGCTCCACCAAAATTGTGCATACATTCTAGAGATTTCTTTCCCCACTGATATAGGAAGTTTGAAACAGGCCATTGTGAATACCGATAGGGCATCCAAAACTGCCTTGATTAGTACTTCTTTCCCTGCTGGGGACAATACGCGACCTAACGATTTGCTAACTAGGACGAAAACTATCCTTCCCATATCAAAATCATTCTTCCTCAATTGAAAATCCTAAGTGCATTAAAATCCTAAGTAGGTTGAAAATGTCGTTCTCTTTCCACTAGGTTGCCACACGACTCTTGCAAGTGCACGCGACGGTGGCTGATCGATAGAGGATGCCATTGATTAGTCTGTGCAGCTATGGGTCGTTTACCAGTTGCTGGCCGCTGGTAGGCACGGCGAGGCATACGGGCTGTGACTGTTGGTAACGGCAGAGAAATGTGAAAGCACGGGCCGACCCATGCCATGGCATCTCCCACGGGCTGCTTACTGGCAATGTGAGCGGCTAGTTGTTGGTGGTGTGTAGAGGAGAGGTCGGGATGAGCGCTGGATTAGTTGTAATTGTACCAGACTGTTATCCAACTACGGGGTTGTGTGGAGGCACTTCTAGCACGACATGGCTTCTTGTGCGGGAATTCTTGCACGAAAGTTTTTCGACAAGTACGACATTTAGGACGTCCGTTGGTTTACTTTTGGGGAAGAATAATTTTTTTTGGGTAGGGGGAACAAAAAAGCCCAAAATATAGCCCAATTCTATCACTTTATTTTTCTTTTCCCTATATTTTTTTTTCTTTCCTCCTTTTTCCCTCTTCATGTCTTTTTTTTTTCTTCCTTCTTCTTTACGGTCCCCAATCGTTTTCTTCTCTGCAAAAATCCTTCTACAATTTCCCTTCCATTTTCTTCTAATTCTGACTACTCAAAATTCCCTTGGTTGCATCGGCTATTGACGGCGAATTTCGATTCGGTGACAGAGATGGCGGACCTAGCCTCGGCGTCGGCAACTGACGGTCGGCCCCTGTACGAAGGACGGCTGATGGCCCGCCTCTGAACAGATCTAGATCGATGGTGGTCCCATGTCGCTGGTCTCGGTGGCGTTCTCGACGTAGCGCACGTGGCTGCCGTTCACGGTTAGGGCTTGGATAGGTTCTCGACAACGTCGGTTTCTTGCGGTGACTAACATGCGGACGACATCTCAGATTCATGGCCCGTCCAATGGCAGTGGTTGTCGAGGGACCAACTCGCGGTTGATGATGGCCAGATCGTGCATCGGTTGTTCTACGGTTGATTCTCGATCTTTGGTGCAGTGGTTCGATGGCTGCAGCTTCCGGCCAGCCGAAGGGTGGCGGCTGCTCGGATGTTCAGGCTGCTCGGTGGTGCTGTGGTAAGCTTCAGGTCGTCGGCTGACGGTAGGCTCGCAGCGGTTGCGTCCCCGCGCTTGGCTACTGTTCGCTACTCTCAGTTTCATGTGCGGACAGGGGTTGACGATAGGTCTTGGCTATGTGTTCACAGGGATGTTGGGTGAACGTTGTTGCTACGGCAAGGGCTGTAGGTTCTCGGCTCGGCTGCGGCTATAGACTGAGGGCGTGTGGCTGGCCTCGTCTCACGGTGTTCGCTGGCTGAAGGGCGATGCTGCATGAGAAGGTGGAGGCTCGCACGGCGGGTGGCGTTGGCTGCGGCTCGCAGAGAATGATGTTCGCTGGAAAAAGGATTTTCCCCTAGAAAGTTTTGAGGGGAAATACCGATCAGTTTTCGAGGGAGAGAGGACAAAGACTTGGGAGAAATTTTCTTTGAATAGAAGGAAAATGAGTAAAATGGTCATTGGACACTTAGAATAGAACAAGGGGCTACTAATGCGGCCATAAATAATGATTAATTCGGGAGTTATGTAATTTGAATCTCACTTGATCTTTGACCAAAATTTGGGGTTACAAGGTCAAATAATATCGGTCATAATTGGATGTTCTACTTGACTAAAATCATTTCCATACCTTTTTTTTTATCGTTAAATGTAAATATATATATCAAAACTGTTTCGGACAACCGTTCAACGACATACAAATGCGTAATGGGCAACCACTAAGTTCGTTTCTCATTCGCCAGATAAAGATATACGAGGCCAACAACAGGTCGGTTGGTCACGCACGAGTACTGGAAACAAAACGAAAAAATTCGTTCATAGATCTTATAAATAGTTCCTTAGATACACGTAGGAGAAAACGGCTCTGAAAATCGAGTTCGTACGGACCCGAACAGGCCCAAAACATCCACTTGGGCTAATTGGTCGCGGAAATGCACGTTGGTCTCGGGCCAAGAGGAGCGGGGCGCGCACACAAGGTGCTGGAGACTCGCGAGAGGGTGCTCGCGGACGCGAGAGCAGTTTCGCGAGCAGGCTGGCACTCGCGGGCACGAGAGGCAGTCCCGGGCGCGGAATTTAGGCTCTGTTGGTGCACCAGACCTCACGGAAGGTAACTCGCGTGCGGGAAACCTGGTTAGCGTGCTGGCAGAAACTCGCGGGGCGCGAGAGGCGATTCGCAGGCTCGAGCTGGCAGCTCTGGTTGCTCGTGGAAGTGCTCAGGTCGCGGATTAGGTGTTCGCGGGCGCGAATTTGTGCTGTCTTGGGGCCGTTTTCCAAACTCAGGCATATATTGAACATTTTCGGCCGATTTTTGACTTCTTTGCTCTTAAAGCCCAAGACTTCTCCTCTCAAATTCAACAAGTACATTCAGATAAGTAGCAAAGATAGTTCGATAAACATGTGTTTTTACCTTGCGAATTACAAGACTCGTGCCTTGGTATTCATTTTCGAACACCAACCGATTCCTAGCATTACAACTAAAGTACACGCTAGCCGCAAGCGCTGCTTTCTTCAACTTGGTTTGCCAACCACTACCTCTCGCCTTCTTCTTGATCCATTTGAGGGCTCCTTTTAGTGTAGACGGCCTATGTCGGAGCCTAATCCAAGTACGAATCTCAACCCAAATCTCCGAGCCAAAGGAACACTCAAAGAATAGGTTGGTCGAAGATTCATTCTCAACTCCACAAAGAGGGCATATCGAATCTTCCTCAAGGAAGTCAAGTGGATCTCTTGTTCAGAGCCGGTTGAGCACCCCCAACCAAAGGATGAAGAAATGCTTAGGGGTATTACACGGGCCACAAACAACCCCATTCCACGGCACCATAGGTCGTTTAGGTCTTAGGAAGTCGTAGCATTTGCTAGTCCCTTCTTGGCCTTCACGAGCTTTCCATCTTTGAACAAGGGCTTCCGCCTCCCGGGAACTCCCCGCCTTTTCCACCAACTCCTGTCGGATGTCAAAGAGGGTTTTGAAGAGAAGTGAGTCCTTCGATCTAATCTCCATACTTGATAATATTATTAGGCACAATTTGAGGGAAATGTAAGGCCGGTCAAAGGGGAGGATTTATGGCTGACAAGTTGTTACCTGAGCATAACCCAATTGAAATTAACTCAAAGAATTGAGACTTACACAAAGGGACGGCTTATTAAAATGCAAATTCGATCGGTTTCTAAGAATTTGGGTCGGATTCTTCGCAATAAAAGGGCCGACCTATGATCGCACTTAGACCGAAAAAATGTGAGGAAGACTTGGTCAAAAATAAAATCTCAAAGGTCCGGATAAAAAAAACTTAAAAAACGGGTCAATATGTATCGAAAACGGTTCTACACGATAGAACCAAAAATCTTAAACGAACTAACTAGCTAATAAAAATTAAATAACCACAAGGCACATACGTTTTACTAAAAATTACACTAAGCACATATTAATAAACCAAGCTTAAAATTAAAATAAGAGCAGACACATAAAATATAAGGAACAATGCGATTACACGAAATGAGGGCAAGCACATAAAGTATAACCGAGCACATAATAATAATTAAATGCAGGTAATATTAAAATGGAGTCAAAGTAAGCAATAATAAAATTCAAGCAAATAATAACCACGAGAAATCATATATATCAAAAGGGGCGCTATAATCTATCCTCCTTAAAAGATTTTCGTCATCGGAAATACTAAAGCATAGGCAACCCAAAAGGGACAAAATATACAAGATTTTTAAACCACGAAGCTCGGATATTTCATCCGAATCTCGTCCTCGCTCTCCCAAGTCGCATCGCCCTCGCCCCAGCAGCCCTGCTGGACTTTGACGAGTACCCCTCCCGGTTTATCACTGATGGACCCTCTGATCCAATTAGTCGCCGGCACCTCAACACAGGTAGGGTTATGCCATACATGTGACTCGTCAAAGTTCGCCACGTGCCCATGATCACACACATGTCCTGTCTACCACGAGACACAGAACACGTCGTTCACTCCCGCAAGCTCCGGTGGTGGAGTCAACCATCAGGCTAAGTCGTCCACTAGGTCGAGAATCTCAAAAGGACTAATAAAGCGTGGCTGCGGCTTCATCTCTTCTTAGCACCATGGCGTACTACACCTCCATTCGTACAGAAATCTCGTACGGTACCATCGGAATGGTCACTTAATTACCATCGTTACAAGCGAACAAGCCCATGGTAAAAAATCCTCTCACACAACACATCTATCAAGCACACACGACTCCAACCGGTCTCTCATAGACTCAATCCCTATGAACAAACATAGTCTCTGCTCGAAACTTAAGGCTCCAACCGATATCAGTACGAGACTTCCAACTTGCCAACTCGAGAATTTCTCGCATGTGGTATAGAAAACTTATCGTCCATTCTCACTTAATCAAAAACATTGATTAAGGAGTTCATACAATGTTCTAGTGGAACTTGGAGCTTTTGGTTCAAGGCTCCGAAGAAAGGGTTCCAGAGGCTAAAATAAAGTTCGACATGTAAAACTGGCTGGAAAGTTTGAAAAGGGATCAACGGTTTGGGGTTAGTGCACTGTCACCCGAGAGGCGGCACGCTCGCTGGCACTGCTTACGCGGGACACTGGGTAGCGTGCGTGCGTACCTCCTCGGAGACTTGCTACTGGTCGAGATTTTCGACCACACACACTGGCCTGGGGAGTTCGTGCATTCGGTGATGGCGGCTGCAGTTCGCGTGTGAGTTGACGGTCGGTTGTGCGCTAGCCTCGCGTCTCTCAGCACGGGCGTGCATGCACGGCCACCACTTCGCGTAGCTACACCCGGCCAGGGCCAGCTTCTGGCTCAAGGTTCTAACAAAGAAATTTTACCTCAAGGTCCACAACAAAATTCATGACAATCAAAATAAAGGGTTTTCATGGTTTTTTCAAAGGTTTCCAATCAACATAATAACACCAATAATTTTTCACAATCCAACATCATCTCGGCCACTCCTTAGCTATTCAGACTATCTCTTCTACAATTCTCTCTGCAGTTTCGGCACCTTTAGATCATATAGCCTCTTCTCGAACATCAAGGCTCCGTCGGATGCCACTGCAGAACTCCTATTTTGCCAACTCGAAAAAACACCCACCAGTGGCATAGAAAATGATCACTAAGTTGCTCAGTACAACCCTAATTCGCTGAGTGATTCCAACGACTAGTGATGTCAAACACCACTAGCTACAGACGACTACTCTGCTATTTCAATCTCTAACCGAGTATCCTTACGAATCAACATCTTTTGCGGAGCATTCGAATGACTAGCTCACCTTGACCCTTCCGAGTACAAGCGTCGGACGACACGTCAGATCTCCCA